TAATCACCTAGCATGTTCAATTCAATTCAAATTTTAAAGTGTAACAAATGAGCCGCGCCATGACAAAACCAACATAGTGCGTTTGCGAGCAAAGAAAAGAGATACTAATAGCGAACAGCATGGATCCAGATCAGACTGCGCGGATGCGCAGGCTGGTCTGATACTATGCTGGTCGCAAACACAATTTGTTGGTTTTGTCATGACGCGGCTCAAATATGTTCAATGTGTGAACGCAATGTGAGTATTTAAGCTGAACGCCTCAAGATGAGCAAAATATTTCGATAAAATCAAAACCTAAGATTTTAGGAAACAATATTCTAGTAATAATTTACATGTATTGTGCGATTAATGACCGTTTTTTCAGTATCTATAACTTTATTTCTACTGCGTTACTAACGATCTCTTTATGGTAATTTACATTGGTTGTAAGTGCCATTGATAATGTGTTTTTGAAACTTTACAATATTATACTGTTAAATACATTTTCCACTTTTCATGAAAATTAGCATGAATCTGAAGGCGTGCTGCTTTAATATATAGCTATATTATACATACACGGTGGTTATTTTAACTGATTACAAAGCCAATTTTATCTTCAGAAATTTTATGTTTGTCATTTACTGATTTTTTCATATATTTTTCCTGTTTCCGGAAATTCCATTGATGATATTTTCCATCATAATTCCGCGCAGTCTGATCAGGATCCATGCTGTTCGCTTACAGACCCTATAACAAGTAAAGAAACTGATAGCGAACAGCATGGATCCTGATCAGACTGGTCTGGATCCATGCTGGTCGCAAACCCACTATGTTGGTTTTGTCATGACACGGCTCAATTAGTTTTGTTCAGTGACATAGCGACGATGGACAGACCGTTCTGTGACTGTAAAAACTGACGTCATTTAGCCCCGCCCCACTCTCTCGCGACATATAAGTTTAAAGTGACATTATGAAATGGTGAGTTCGATTCCCAGGCTTTCCATGGCAACTAAATTTACTAATCAGTCTTTTGGATAAGACTTTAAATCGAGGTTCCGTGTATGAGTGCTTAAACACTTGGCACGTTAAAGAACTAGGGGAAACTTATGGAATTAGGGTATCTTTCTGTATCTGTTTCTTGCACTTTCCTCCAAAATCTAAAATGACTATAATACTCTTCTGGAGGACTTGCCCGTATGGGCACCGGCGGCGGGTATAAATAAATTAAAACACACACACACACGTGCAAAATGGTGAGAATACAGGTAAAAGTCAAAGCAAGTACATTTCGCCATTCAATTTTATATCCTACTTTAAATGAATATTCAATTACCTACATGACACACAGAAATTCCCATAAATATCTTTTAGAATGTACTGGTAACGCTCAATTGATAAAAAAATAGTTGGGTCAGTCAGTTTAATTATATGTTTGGTAAATCAACATTAAAGTAGTCAATCTGTTGAAATATTTAGCAAACTCTCAGCAACTTCACAACGAATATATAATCAAAGTATAATCATAATTTCAATTTAATTAAAGATATGTTTAAGCTTTTAGTACGCCAGTTTACTATATACGCACTTATACTTTTACAACATGGAACATTCGCCAACACGTTTATTTGAAATACACACTAACATAACATACATATCATATTAAAATAATGTTCGGGAAAAACATCACAAGGAAACACATCTTAATTTAACGATTGCCTTTTATCCTTACATAGTATAACACTGTTGTTGACAAATTTTCAAATATGGTCACTTTCTTTCTACTTATAAAGTGCCCTTCTTTATGATAATCATATGTTGTGCCATTCATTTTAATTTTATTTATTTATTTATTTATTTATTAATTTATTTATTTATTTATTTGTTTTATTTATTTATTTATTTATTTATTTATTTTATTTATTTATTTATTTATTTATTTATTTATTTATTTATTTATTTATTTATTTATTTATTTATTTATTTATTTATTTATTTATTTATTTATTTATTTATTTATTTATTTATTTATTTATTTTATTTATTTATTTATTTATTTATTTATTTATTTATTTATTTATTTATTTATTTATTTATTTATTTATTTATATATTTATTTATTTATTTATTTATTTATTTATTTATTTATTTATTTATTTATTTATTTATTTATTTATTTATTTATTTATTTATTTATTTATTTATTTATTTATTTATTTATTTATTTATTTATTTATTTACTTTATTGTAAGGTCTTCCGTCGCACCAACACAGTAGAGATCATATAGTGACTTTCCAGATTTTCCGTTGGAGGAAGACCTTATGCAGGAACCCCTCCGTGCATACTGTCAGGTACGAGCGGGCACCCGAGTAGAACCACCGACGTTCCGTAAGCTAGCTGGATAGCTTCCACACATAAAAGAATCTAAAGTCCCTGACGGTGTTCGAACCTACAGCGGTAAAAGGCAAGCGGCCACGGACGCCCCCTAAGGCAGGATTTAGAATGTCCGAAATGTATGTATATAATAATGTACATCAGTTTGAAAGGTGTTTTTTCTTCTCCAAATCCCTCCAGAGGCGTGCACGTCGCGGAGAAGGCACACGGCAGGTCAAGGTCAAGTCATCTCAAGTACCAGAGGTGATTGGTTGACCTGTCGTGACTAACTCTGGAGGGTGGCGCTAACAAGAGCCGTTTTATGTCAACCGCCTGTTTGCAGCCGTCACGGAACTTGATGCTTTTCCGGTATTGTCTTTCCTCCACCGAACGAAGAACAGGACTTAGGAAGATCGGCATGAAAAAGACGTCCCCGATGAGACTACTAGAGTGGACCGGCATGGACGCTGAGATCTCGGACATATGGAATTTCCGGCGCCGAGCTAAAATAAACCGAAAAACAACAACAACAAAGGTGTTTAATAAAGGGAGGGGCATTTCTTTCTTATATTATTACAAAACAGGATTTTAACTTAAGAAATCTTTATAAGTATTCTTATGTAACTAAAATAGTCCCTTATCGTGTTTACTTATATCTTTAAATTTGTTGCATTAAAAGAAATATTTTTCGACTTAGTTACCTGCAGCAGTTGATACTGAAACAAGAATGTGTATTATTTGCGGTTAAGTAACGGTTTTAGACGGGGAATTCCCTAGTAAGTGTAACATATTAAACTTATTGCGAAATGCTGTGAGTATATATCAGTTCACCATGTATATGTACTTATACGTACCAGCTTATTTTTGTTTCCTCAAAATTTTGAACTTTAAACCCAGACGAATAGTCATAATTATTCTCACTCAAAATTCGTTACGCTTGCCAGTTTTAAATTCTTTTCTTTTTTTTTTTTCTTTTTTTTCTAGTTCTTATAACGCTAAATTCCGCTTTTTGAACCATCCAGTCATTATGGGGTGTGGTCAAAGTTAAATCATTTTGTGATATGATAAACGTCAAATTTTGGCGCTGCTTCTGTAAGTAAAACGTTCTCTTTTAAAGGCCCATTCTGCTCACGAATTGTTTGTTTTTATTTCTGGTGCACTTTTATAGTTTTCAATAAGATACTTTTACAATTACCTGACCTTATTTTTTCTACTGTTGCTTTTTGGCAGTTAGTCTAGTTAAAGCTTATTTGAGCCGTGCCATGACAAAACCAACATAATGGGTTTGCGACCAGCATGGATCCAGACCAGCGTGCGCATCCGCGCAGTCTAATCAGGATCCATGCTGTTCGTTATCAGTTTCTCTACTTGTTATAGGGTTAGTAAGCGAACAGCATGGATCCTGATCAGACTGCGCGGATGCGCAGGCTGGTCGGGATCCATGCTGGTCGCAAACCCATTATGTTGGTTTTGTCATGGCACGGCTCAAATAAGTTTTAACTAGACTAACTGCCAAAAAGCAACAGTCTGGATTCATGCTGGTCGCAAACCCACTATGTTTGTTTTGTCGTGACGCGGCTCATTTTATACGGAAGTCAAAACACTATTTTGTTTACATTTTGCGACATTTATGATATAACAAATTAATAATTTCATATTTACCTCAACTTTTTTCAGGTACCAAACATCTACATGCTCTAAAATTCCATTATTAAATGTTGCTAAACTCAAGTTTGCCCTTTCTAAAGAAAAAAATGTTTTCGTACCTGGCGCATAATGTGCCTTTAAGAAATACTGGCACGTGTAAGTATATGTTACTGTTGAAATAATAAGAAAACATTAAATATTAAAGAATTAATTGTTTGCTACTGTCTCTGCTAATGATATACATTATTATAGATATCCAAGTAACTAAGTTACTTTATGTTGCAAAAAAAAGTAGTACAATGTACATGTATCACTACGCTAACAAACATAGCCGTATTAGCTTTGTCCTACTTTAAAGTGGATTTATCTGAAATAGTAAGTAAGTATTTAAAAATCTCAATTAAAACAATAGAAAGGTATCATTTGGATACCCATATAAGATATTTCTTTGGGGAAAAATTATTGATATAGTTCGAAGTGATTCAGTTTGATCATCTAAATGATAGATAATGATATTTTGTTCTAGAACAATTTATTGTCTAGGAATATTATGTATTATTGGGCCATGTATCAGCAACATCTATATATAATCATATCGTGTTTTATAGTCATGGATGATAATAAATATTATCAACATGTGATAATAAATATTATCAACATGAGTATGTATGATAATATTCATGAATCTGACAGCTTACCAGCCTAGTAGTAGTAATGGCATGACAGAACTTCCGTTATTGACCAGTTCGCTTTAAATTTGGAACAAAAATTCATAAAGATCGGTCAGGGTTGGCTTCGCACAGGTCAAACAGACGAGTCATTTTTTTTTATTTAAACAGGCCAATGGAAATTTATATTTCTCTAGCAATGATATCGCTGGGTCCAGAAGAAGTATGGATATAATATGGAGGCCCTGTTTTCCCGGAAGTTGCCGGATATATTTCACGACATGCGCACTAGCGATGATAAAATGAACGCTTAAATAAAAGACAAACAGTAAAAGTATATTTTTATTGTTCATTTTTATTGTTTTCTGAGAAAATAGTTCATCTGTGTACATGTTTAACAGCAAAGGCACAATATATTAAAACATACATTAAAGGTACGTTTTTTGGCAGTTAGTAGCATAAAAAATAATACATAATATAAATATAATAAACAATTCGTGAAACGGATATGATAAAATACTTGCACTATCTTCGGATAGGTGAACATTTACACTAACAGGAAAGCGCTTTTCTACAAAAATATCTTTGGTAATATGAATATACAAACGAAACCAAAGGCCTACTGACACATAAGGTGGGGGAGGGGTTTAACCAGATATCCCTGCCACTTTGAACTTTGAGGGTCATTGTTTGTCCGGGTTTTTTTTTTCTTACATAAAAATCAGTATTTTCCGCCGTTTTGTTACCGTTTTCATAAATAGTATTCTAAACACCCCGTACAATTAATTTCTTGTAAAATGATATCTTTTGGTTGAAAGAAAAATTTAAAAAAAATTATCAAGTTATTAGATCTCTCAATATAAGTATAATTTCCTCCAAGATATAGAAACAGATTCTTACATAACACTTTCGTGTGAACAGTGAACACTTTTACCTTCCTTAGAGCAGTAGACCGGAAGTGACGTTTCAAAGCATTTGAAATACGTATAGAGATGAGTGAAAAGTGTAAGCACATATTCTTTTCTGATATGATAACATTTGGCTAAAATTCAATATGTATACACATGTTTAAACATGTGAAAAAATATGTTAAAAACACAAACAATACAATAATTATTATGCATATAACCGGAAGCATCTTTTTCTCTGACGCCATTCACGTGCTGAGATATGACGTCACCTACAGATGGAGGTGATCTCCCTTGAAGGGTATATTGTGTAATGAATATGTTGATTACAGTTTTTTCGACTTATAATCTCTAATAGTCTCAAAATAGTAATGAATGATTAATGACTAAGTAACATAATATTACAAACAGTTAAATGATTTTTTAGGAAAAAACAGAAGCAGAAAAAAAAAACATTAAAAGTAGAAAGTATATTATAAATCTGATAATTTATACCCTTATGGAATGAGTATGAATATTTCAAAAATGGCAAGATTTGAAACTGTTTGATTTAAAAATGTTATTTTCGGTGGTTTAGAATTTTTATTTAAAGCAAAAACTTCATATTTGGCTAAACCTCAATATATCACCTCTTTTTTTGGATTTCTTTTGCGTCACTTAAATTCTGCAAAATTTATATTTTAAAATAATAATGATAAAACATCTTTTACAAAAATGAACACATAGCTAAAGTCTAATTTTTAGAAACTACGGAAGACCATTTAGCATATTTACGGCTGCAATTCACATTAGTTTCAGTACAAATAAAATACGGTGTCTCGTTAGGGCCATCGTTGTTAAGAAATAAACGCATTGCAGCACATGGGTATAACAGTACCCCGTAAATAAATAGAAGTAAAAATGATATATTAAAAATGAATTAGATCAGATCAACTGTCAATTCATTTCGCCTCGCTCACCGCCCAAATGCCCTTTGTCTCCATTTTGAGCAATATTATGCTCTGGTCTGAAGTCTATTTTTAGTTCGGGCTTCAAACTCACTATATGTTTAAGAACATACAAATATACACCGTGTCTGTCTACACACGTATTTGTTCCGGAAGTTCATTTCTATACCTCAATCTTACAGAATCGATACACAAGTCTTTTGGAATTCTCTGTTTTCTTGATAATGTTCTTCTTGTAATATTGCCGGATCGATCGGCTAAGCTTATCATAGTTCATTGCTGGGCGGTTTTTTCGCTTGCCCCAAAGTTTTGCAACTCTTGCGGAGTTTTCGATCTTGAACACTCCTTCCGATCGATTTACCCACCGGATGCAATCAGTGTAATGCCCATCGAGCAGAAGATTTCTTAGAAATTGGTGCAGCTGTATCGTCTGCCGATGATGTTGAACGGATTCTTCTGGTAATCGGTCAGGATCGTCGACTAAAGAGAGAAGAAAACAACACATATTTATTATATAGTAAAACAAGTATATATATTTAAATAAATACCAAAGAATACACCCTTCCCATGGCCCTCGCACGCCTTCGATTTCATAGCTTACAACCATCGAAGTAATTTTTCATATTTTTGCTGTTGCTACTATTTTTGTAAAAAAAATATTCTTTACGTTATTTACTGCTTCTTTATTTACGCTTTCATTAAAAAACCTACTCATACCAGTACGTTAAACCTCCTTGTTTGAATATTTTGTTTTTAAATTTCCCGGTTAAAACAAGCCATGTACCAGGTGTTATCATTAAACAGCCTATCGACGCAAGTTGTGTGCAACATTTTAATATACTTACATGTACAGGTGTTTTCTTTATTTTTTGGTGTTTCTGGGAGACTTTCGCATTCGCTGAAGGAACTGGGTGAGGGACTCAAACTTCCGGAGCTACTTGTTCGGTCCGGGGACACTGGAACTGGTATGTTTTGAATGAGTGGTAACGTCTGACTGTGTGTCGTCTGCATATATACTGGAAAAAGAAAACAGGACAAGGTCAAGGTCGATGCATTTTGATATATAGAAAAATGAAAATATCTGGACAGTTAAATGTTCTAGGTTCCGAAAGAAATGAAAATTGGACTAAATTTGTGATTTATTGTAAATATCACGGTGTTAATATATACAAAAGTAAAGACTTGATCAAATATTTATTTATAGAAAACATGGGATTTATTCAAATGATACAACATGTATAGCTTGATTTTGTAACATACCGAGTTTCCACACTTCCAAGCGTGCAATAAGCGTCGGTCCGGCAATGGGAGCATAAAGTTTGAACCTTTCCTCAGTCATTGAGCAGAGTTCAGCACCGGATACGTAGAAATAGTCCAAATTCGGTTCCGGGATATTGTATTTTGCGCACTGCCAAACAATCCATTGTTTAACTTGATCATGCGTCCAAAGAAATGGATCTGAAAGGAAAAAAGATGGATTTTTTACATCATTTTAACGGAAAGTGTAAACAAAAGTAAAGAAGGTAATAACAAATCATGATAAAAAAAAGACCATGATAATAATAATATCATCATCATCATAATAATTATTATCATCATGATAATTATCATCATAGTAATTATCACCATCACAATAATCATAATTATCATAATTATTATTATTATCATCATCAGCATTATTTGATTTATATATGTTACATTTATGTATATATTCTACTTTTATAGCTGTTTATCTAAATAGTATAACTCTTCCTAAAGTTTAAGTGCTTTAAACCCAAGTAAACAAACGATTTAAAGTGACGTGACGTTAAACCAGCCGTTATTTTGGGGTGTGTAAGCCCCATTGTAAACAAAACTTTCAGTGACCAGCGTAATAGCGATTTATTTGTTTGTTTACATGGCATTTTAAAGCGAATTATATATTAACAAGTAGTTTTATTTCAAGTCGTGAGAGGAAGAAATATGTTTACGTTCCCAACTAGCGTTATATCGTGAAAAGTTGATGATTTGGGAATTTGATAAAATTAAACCTTTTTGTCGTGAAGGTGAAATAAAGCGTACGAAGTAAATAAAGCCCTGGGGTAAAGTAGAGAATAAAAATTAAGCTATTATTTTATTGCCCTATTTTTATGGGATGAGTGTTGAATGTATCTTTATCAATTCCACGTTTTAAAACTATTTTAATAACTAGATTTGTAGTTAAGCTTTAACGTATCATACATATTTTATAATATTTGCGCACATAAATGAAAACACACCTCTATCAATTCCAAGGCACATGCATGTTTCTTCAACATCTTGCCGACATTCTTGGATTGCAATATCTTCCACATTTGCTGTTTCTGAATACTGTCCATAATTTTCAGAAGAGTCTAAACTATTTTGATCCATATTTCCACGGGCTTGTGGCACATGGGATAATTGATCTAGGTAAAAGTTTGTTCGGTTTAAATCTACGTATGAATCCGGAGAAAACCTTGAACAGTCTGCGCTATCGTCGAGATCAAAGTAGTCCGAGGTCTCGTCCGGTTGGTAAGGAGAACCTTGATCCGCGGCTACCGGAACTGGCGGTAGAGCAGACGACTTTGTGAAGTCGAAGGTTTCCGAATAGAAATCTGTTGATGGATGTTCGAAGTCCCCTTGCATTGCTTCCAAACTGTCTAGAGGCGTCTCAGGAACCTAATAAAGTAGATTTTTTCATTGTTAATTTTGTTGAAGTTTTTCATTATTTTTTTCCAAGATAAGATTATAAATATAAAATACCAGAAGAAATATCCGTTCTAAAATCTCATTATTTTAAAGGCAAAATGGCAAATGTACAAAATGATGCATAGAAGTTTTAATTACCATGATAGAGTTTAGTAGTACTAATTTGAATCCAAATTCGTCGCCAATAAGATCACATAATTATATAATCAATTTCTATTATTAAATCTTTATTTTTTAACTATAAAACAACTTCTACTTACTTCTTGATCAACGGGGTTTAGAGCCAAGTTCTTGCGTTTAGCGTAAAGAATAATTCCTTCAAATCCTGGAAAAGTAAACATCAAATATATATAAACACACTATACTTTGAATTTAATGCATTGATATATTTATTTTTTACGCAAATTTCAAAAATAATGTATCATAAAATTTCAAAATTAATGTATCATAAAATTTCAATATGAATAAAAAAATGCAAATTAAAAAAAAAATCCCACTTGTTAAATAACGCATCTGTAACAATATAAATGCCAAAAATTATTATTTTTTCAAAGCATTTGAAAAGCGGTTGATATAAGAAAATAAGCATTTAAAAAAGCAAGTAAAATGTTAAATGCAGTAGAAAAAAAAGAACACAGTCATCAGAACTAACTACAAACATGTAAACAGACGCATACAAACATTCAAAAGGTTGCAAAAGCTCTTTAAATTTACCCATTGCTTTTTGAAAGCTGTACATTGTCGTATTCAAAGATAAACTTGTAAATCTCACCAAATATTTAAAACTATATTGCTTTTAAAACACTATTATCCAAATACAAACTTGTGAGCTCGCTTGCTTAACTAAAATGATAATAGTAAATGTAAAAATTTGGTTTATATATCAGTACTTTGCGCTGAATTCTACGAAAACACTCCGTTTACATCTGGGCCGTATCGAGAGGCTCCTAAAGGGAAAACATATTTAAAATCCATTTGTTATTTTTAATGTTTAAACAACTATTACTCCAAACAATGGCTATAGCGTCCAGGATAAGTTAAATAAATAAAATTTCAAGTATTTTGAGAACATTTATATGCAATTTAATGTCTAAAATGTTTAAAATACTTAGAAAATTTACATGTAGGTCAAACAAATTGCGTGAGAACTCTCCTTCATTGAACCTCATGACCGGGTTTTCCCGTTAAAGAACAAGCGATTTGATTGGTAAAGAGACTTCTGACGTAAATTTTGACTCAACGTTTTATCTTTAGCAAAAGTATAAACATTTTACTAGTATTTAAAAGTTTTTCAACTGAAGGGATAATATCGTCAGCGGTTAAAAGTTTGCATCAGATAAAAATTGACGGCTACAAAATTATGAATAGTGATTATTATTTTTAATTTAATTCAATCTATCTTAATGCATGTACTAAATATGAAAGCGTACGCAATGCATACCCGGGCGCTGAAATGAATTGCTATTGTTGTTTGTTTTTTTGTTGTTTTTGTTTTTTTTTTGTTCTGATGTGTTATTCTTTCTTCAAGAATTGATATCTATAATAGTCTTATCACATTACTCAAGACCTGGTGTTCATTGCCAATGAAAGTACAATTCCCCGAATTTCTCTACATTCCGTAACAGTATCGTCTGCACAAAGTACGTATATACTTAAAGCCATGTAAACACTGGCGCGCACTTCTGACTTAGCATGTTTTAAACAATCGAAATAATTTTGTTTTATCTATTTTGTTTTACACAGGCAATTTTTATGTTTAGATCTACTTGTAAGTAATTAAAATAAAATCAAAATGAAAGACCTAGCAAGAAAATAAAACTATCGAATGTCTTGAAACAGGGCTAACTTTTTTTAAGGCTTTCTTTTTCCCCATTAGACTCTCGCAGAAAAAAACCCGTATGACTTTAAGTGTAAAGGATAGGGTTTAAAAAAAAATGGAAGTGTGCTAGCGTGATTTGATAAGGGGATCAGTGCGAAAGTCCTTAAGATCCTTTAGAAACGCTTTATTCGGAATATCTTTGTGATGATTATAATAATTATAAGTGCACTTAATGGTATTTTAAATCTGAAAATTTGAACAAAGACTTAGTGATGAACATTATGTACAACTTGAAGTGAGATATCGAAACAAAAATAAAGGGATGGCTATATATATTTATATGTGTAAATGTTATATCATAATGTATATAAACTAATATATAATTTCTTGTAAACCGTTTGCTTATAAGTAGATAATTTAGACAAATTTTGTTCTTGCATGTTTTTTATTTAAAAAGTATTAACTGTTTGTCCGTCCGTCCGTCCGCCTATCTGTAAAACCGCACGCAAAAATGTCGAGCAAAACACTGATTTCCCTAGCATAGATATGGAGACACGCTGATATAATTTTATGCTTAAGTCAGTTTTTTTTCCGCAAAGATATTGTTCTAAGTAAAGTTAATTTATTTCTTTATATAGATATGACAATATCTTCCTTAAGCGTGATGTGCAAATTATTAAAGGCTAGCCCATCTGGGATATATAAACCCAAAATCTGATTATTGTTATCTAGTTCATTATATGTAAAATGATCAAAATTAACCCACGCAATATTATAGTTGCCGAATTTATCTCTTTATTTTAGTAATTGGTAAAAACTGATCCTAAAGATGGGACAGGCCTTGTTTTGCTTAAGAAAGTTAAAACCATGCCATGCGGCTATATTTACATCGTTTACAACTTTTGTAGATCGGGTAAATGCAGTTTGTCGTAGTACGGGGCATTGAAGCATGGGCTCTGACGTAAATAAAGTTATTTTGGGGTATCAGTGAACAATGCAAGTATCTATTTGTGAATGTAATACCTTTAAACCAAAATTTTATGTCGGCTGTCAAAATAGATAAACTACCCACGGAATTGTACTTAAAAAGTTGTTATTCACTTAATTAATGTGCGATTTTTTGTTACCCGTAAGGTTATCATATTGAGCTATTTTAGTCAATGAAAAATATTTATATATCGTCACTATTACGTGACGTAACTTGAGCCTGCGGACAACAATTTTAGGAAAGATCCTGGCAGATATGTATCCTACTTTATTTTTTTAGTTATTATCCTAAAAAACATTTTTGTGTACAAAGACTCAATCTTTATATATAAATCCTTAGACCTGCAGAAGTTTTTTAATTAATGGATTTTTCCAACTTCCATTTTTAGAATTGTCCATTTTCAAGTTTAGGGATATTAGGATGAAATTTAAAATTATCTAGCCGGCCTGGCTATTTATTTTAAACGGATATCGGATGATTTTTATCGTCCTCGAGGCTTTTAGTCATGACAAAACCAACATAATGGGTTTGCGACCAGCATGGATCCAGACCAGCCTGATCAGGATCCATGCTGTTCGCTATCAGTTTCTTTACTTGTTATAGGGTCTGTAAGCGAACAGCATGGATCCTGATCAGACTGCGCGGATGCGCAGGCTGGTCTGGATCCATGCTGGTCGCAAACCCATTATGTTGGTTTTGTCGCGACGCGGCTCAATTTACTTACACAATGTCGATTCGCATATAGATCTAGTCCAAAAAATACACCATAAACAAATAATCTAAACAAAAGCACCAATGTATAAACCTATGATATATAATGTATTAAGAAAGATCTGTGCAAAATTATTAAATTGCCAATATTTATTTCACGAAACTTTGAGAACATTTTCATTATTTTTTTTCCTTAATTGATTTTAGAGTTACAAGTTTTAGTTATTATAACAAATAAACCTTTTTTGAAAACTAGGATCATATTTTGTTAACTTAACACGCTTCGTACGACCTCCACCGTGGACCTTTTTAAGTAAGACAACTATTGAACCTTTGTTATTTTTTATCTTTCTTTTTTTTTTCCTTTTTTTAAAAAGGGGCCATGACGTCAATTCACAAAGCGTAGCACAATTACACTAGTATATCCTTTTCAGTTCTTAAGAAATCGATTTTTATTTAACATTTGACAAACATATTATTTACAAAAAAAAGAACTGTTTATTTTCCTGCCATCTTGGCTTTTGGCAGGCCCTGCGTCATTAACTCGTTGCACAAAGGGACGAGAGACAGAGCTCCTTAAAAGAACCAGGAAGCCCTTATATGACTTAATGACACGTATCCATTTCGACCAATCAGAAATAAGCTTTCTGCAGCAAAAAGAAAATAAGAGTTCATGCCATTTTCTCTTTAGGAGAATAATACGCCGGGATTTAATCTCTTGTTTAAATAACATTAATCCAAAGTGACCTTCAAGTAATAAATAAAGTACTAACCACTTAAGTGGAAAACCAACTGAACCACTTAAAGGACATTAGTAAACACTTAAATGTACAATGAGCAACTTTTAATGCGTTCTGATTAGTACCGCTTATGGATGCCCAGCATATTTGCCGATCAAATCAATAAGTATATATCGATTTATTGATTTTATTGTTATTATTATTATTATTATTATTATTATTTATTTATTTATCTATTAATTTATTTTTATTTATTTATCTTTTACAGTGCGTGTGCGTTTGTCACAAAAATTAACTTCTCTTGAGACCCCTAAACAGTTGATGTTTTAAAACTTATTACTCAATTTCTTTTGAAAATTGCAAAAGAAAACACACTCACTTGTGCATAAAGTTCTACCGATGAAAAACCGTAGCATTATTTTTAAGTCTAGACTGATAAATGCATTTAACTTTACATGATAACTTTGTTATACAGCGCGTGCCATTATATATACATTGTGCGTTTATTTTAGTGCCATGTTAGTAAATAATGCACTTATCAATTGTATACAAAGCCCCATCCAACAGGGTGGTGCGGGGGAAGGGGGGGGGGTAGCGGTGGAAATAAGCGGAATGGAGCTCTTAGTTCAGCTTATGTTTTGATAGAGAAAAGGTTTACATAAGTTCCGTAACCAAACAGAACAATACATATTTGAGTACGTATTAACTTAACAAACTGAATATTGAACTTCAACTAAAATCCATCATCCGTGCAGTCTAACCAGTCGCTCAAATGTTAAATTCTACTTAAGCCGGTGCGGGGCGGGGGGGGCTGGGCGTGTACGATAGGTTGCTTTTCCGGTCACGTCAATGAACAGGTTCATTCAAACGGAGTCTGCAACATTTTTCAATTTTTGCCTTTTTGGACGATTTTTAGGAATTCCTTTTCTGTTATCAATGATATTGTTAGTGTTCTTTTTTATATTTAAGTTCCTGAAACTTAAAGGCAAGACTTAACGTTCTCCTTGGTTTCCTGGGGGACCCAGGGGCCCGGAACTTGTAACATGTTTTTTTCAAAAGTTTATTACTTTTACATTTCTTAAAATCCCTTTGGCGTTTTTTTACCCTTCCTTTTTACCTGTCCATTATCAATCCAGGGGATTCAACAATGAAGGTTGTATGCCTCCAGATCAGCCAAAATGTTTCAAGAAAATCAAACTTGAAAAAATGTACTTAGATGTTAAGAAGAGCAAAGAGATTCAAGTAACAATTTACATGTTATATGCGATAATTAATTTTGCAGTATTTATCACCATTTTTCTGCGTGACTAACGCATTAAGGGATATTTTTGCATATTTTGTCCTCTTTTTGGTATTTTACGTGGATTGTAAACGCTGTTTGCAATAAGTTAAATTACTTTCTTTGTTCACTTCATGATATTTTACTCCTTTTGTGTATATTTTTTCAAAATTATGCCGCTTTAAATTCTGGTGGCAAATGCTGATCACTTTCGGCAAGGTTAAAAAATTGAAGCATCAAAATTTATCTATTTAAAATTATTTCTATTTTTTCATTGTCTTGGTTAAAAATAACAAATCGTTTGGCGCAAAACGTCTTTTACATCACCTCACAA